ACTGGACAAAGGAAGGATTGACATTTCACCATCAAAAGTATCATACACTTGGATAATTTCATTAAGAAAGAATGGCTAATTCTTTTTGGGTCACACCAGGTAGTGCCTGGAAATGAATAATAATAAAAAGTCCCCCGTTATATTTATATTGATATTTAAGAGCATGTAAAGTACAGAGAATATGAAGCAACAGAAATCCACTGTGAAAATTAGAAAAACCCTGTTTGACTTTATCACAAAAATCAAGAGATGGTATAAAGCCACCTTCCATGAAACACTTCAACATCATTAAAGTGCTATGTAATCTATGATCATTTATCACTTCTTCCTATTTCCTGCAAATATTTTGAGGAGGGGTATTCTTCTGGTTAAGATACTGAGCTGATACTCAAGAGATGGATTCTATTCTTGGCTGTTCTACAGCTACAATTGGCTATTTAATTTTGGACAAACCACATAAACCTGGATTCAGAAAAGCACTTATCCTTAACTATAACTATAAGATTTAAGGATGTGCTTAAGAACTCCTTTCTGGTTAACAGGTGACTTCTAAGTGCTCTAAAATCCACATTTCCCTCAGATATCCTTAAAAGTTGCTGTGACTCCTGTGGGGTATGGGGTAGGGTTAGTATACAAACATAAGAATGGTCATACTGGGTCAGCCCAATGGTCCATCTAGCCCAGTATCCTGTCTTCCAAAAATGGCCAGTGCTACATGCTTCAGAGGGAGTGAACAGAACAGGGCACTTTATCGAGAGAGCCAAACTCTGTCGTCCAGTCACAATTTCTAGCAATCAGAGGTTTAGGGACACCCAGAGCTTGGGGTTTCGTTCCTGACCATTTTAGCTAATAGCCATTGATGGACCTATCCGCCATGAACTTATCTAATTCACTTTTAAACCCTGTTATAGTCTTGGCCTTCACAACATCCTTTGGTGAGGAATTCCACAGGTTGACTATGTGTTGTGTGAAGAAATATTTTTGTTTTAAAACTGCTGCCTATTCATTTAATTGGATGACCCCTGGTTTGCATGTTATGTGAAGGGGTAAATAACACTTCCTTATTCACTTTCTCCACACCATTCATGATTTTATAGACCTCTATCATATTCCTCCCCCCATCATCTCTTTTCTAAAATAAAAATTCCCCGTCTTATTAATCTCTCCTCATTTGGAAGTTGTTCCATATCCCTAATAATTTCTGTTGCCCTTCTCTGTAATTTTTCTAATTCTAGGACATCTTTTTTGAGATGGGGTGACCAAAACCAGGTCTGGCCTTAGGAAAAAATGGTGCCCTGGCCAAATTTGTATTTTGGCACCCTTTCTTTGAGTTTGCGAACAGCAGTGTGGGGTGCAGGGTGTGAGGACCAGCTCCTGGCCCTGGAGCCAGCCAGGCTGCATGGTGAGGAGTTTCTGAGCCTGGGGACTCCCCTGGTCATACATCCCCAAACACCAAGCAGGACAGCAGGTGTGCTGCCAGTACCTGTGCCCGCAAGAAAGGGCAAGCTCTGCTGGCTGTACATCCCCGCCAGGCCGGCAGCTCCAAGAGGCATTACCCACGCCCGGCCCAGCTGGCCAAGGGCTCCAGCCCTTGGCTCGCTTGCACTCACCCCTGGCTCTGGCAGCCCAGGCCCGACAGCTTAGCGCACTCAGACAGTGCCCCCTGACCACGGCACCCACCTGTAAGGCCATCCCTGACCAGAACTGCATGCAGTATTTAAGTCATGGGCACACCATGGATTGATATAGTGACATTATGATATTTTCTATCTTATTATCTGTTCCTTTCCTAATGGTTCCTAACATTGTTAGCTTTTTTGACTGCCGCTGCACATTGAGCGGATGTTTTCAGAGAACTATCCATAATGACTTCAAGATCTCTTTATTGAGCAAAAACAACGAGGAGTCTGGTGGCACCTTAAAGACTAACAGATTATTTATTGAGCAGTAACAGCTAATTTAGACCCCATCATTTTGTACGTATAGTTGCGATTATGTTTTCCAGTGTGCATTACTTTGCTTTTATCAACGATGAATTTCATTGGCCCATTCTTGGCCAGTCATCCACTTTTGTGAGATCCCTTTATAACTCTTCACGGTCATCTTTAGACTGAATGATCTGTTTGACCTTGTATTTAGCTGTTACACTCTAAGTACCTTTCCCAAACCTGAGGTTCAGCTCTGGGTAGCTCAAAAGCTCATCTCTCTCACCAACAGAAGTTGGTCCAATAAAAGATATTACCTTACCCACCTTGTCTCTTAACTATTTTGAGTAATTTTGTATTGTGTGCTAACTTTGTCACCTCACTGCTTACCCCTTTTTCGAGATTATTTTTGAATATGTTGAACAGCACTGGTCCCAGTACAAATCTTTGGAGACCCCGTTATTTACCTCTCTCCATTCTGAAAACTGACCGTTAATTCCTACCCTTTGTTTCCTATCTTTTAACCAGTTACTGGTCCATGAAAGGACCTTCTCTCTTATCCCATGACTGCATAATCTGCTTAAGAGCCTTTGGAGAGGGACCTTGTCAAAGGCTTTCCCAAAAGTCCAAGTACACTGTATCCAATGGATCATCCTTGTCCACATTATCCCTTTACAAAAGCCATTTTGGCTCTTCCCCAACATAGTGATCCAAATTTGGGATTGGGGGCTCTTGTCAGAGGAAGTGCAGAGGTGGGACACTGGGGGGAGTGACATGGAGGTGAGTGGCAGGAAGAGCAGAAGGGTTTGGGGCAAATGGTGCCTGTCAGCCTCATATTCTCCCCTCCTGTATGTATGCTGGGATCTTGGGGAACCTTGCCCCTCTGGAGTGTTTGAGCCTCTCTCCCTATCCTCTCAGGTGATTAGGATCTGGGGAGTTCCCTGCCTCTCTGGAGCTGTCTGAGCTCCTCTTCCTGCCCCTCACCATGCAATAGCAAGTATCTGGGGGGCTCCATCCCGCTCGGGGTCAGAGCCCCTTTCTCTGGTCCCCCATGTGATAATCAGGAGCTGGGGGCCCTTTTTGCTCTAAAGGGCTCTGAGCCCCTCTCCCTGTCCCCTTATGTGAGCTGGTATCCAGGGACGCTCTGCCTCCAGGTAAGAACAGGCATGCTGGGAGCATGCGCCACGAACACATTGCTGAGACTGGGGTGAGTAGTTGAGAATGGGCACACTTGATGCATTCACAGGTTCTCAAGCACTGGCATGGGGGAGTAGATATGAGAACACCACTGAGATAAGTGGAACAGCTCACATTTTTCAGAGCTATTGTTTCGGGCTGCATTTATCTACCTGGAGCGTTCTCATCACATTGAGATGAATGAGCAACTTCACATCTCTATGAGCTTCCTATGCTGCAGATGGCTATGTAGAGCCCTTTCATCTCTCTCTACCTCAGTTTTTCTATCTGTACAATGGTGATAATGAGGTTTCCCTCCTTGGTAAAATGCTTTGAGACGTATTGATGAAAAGAGCTATGAAAGAGCTAGGTATTTTAATTATTATTATTACTACTGTTACTTGGCCACAGTAGTGACTGAACTGCACACCTACATAATTACAACTGCCTAAATGACCACTAACTCCTACCAACGTTTCTCTTTCTGTTAAAAAAAAACAAACTAGAAATTCATTGACAAAAAATGTAACTAATGCTGAGTTAAGGTTGCCTGGTGGTCTCTCATGCCCTTCCAGATCATCGAGTTCAGCAGAACTCTATCTTAAAGTTTTGAAAACCAGAAAATACAAAGTTTAACACCCATGCAACTTTAACTCTGCCATCTCTGAGCGATGCTACACTAAATCGATAATACACATACACATACTCACATACATTGTACAGGAGCTATCTATACCTGCCCTACCCTCAAACACTTAACCTACTCCATTGAAAGATCAACACATCTGGTGCATTTTACAACACTTTCACCCTTACCTATAATGCCATCTAACACTATATTCACTTACCCTTCATTAAAATCACAGACCTCACTTATCTCTCATTCAACTGCTGACAGTTCCCCAGCACAGAGACCCCTGTGCCCTGCTGCTAACCTACACAACACAGCTGAAGTAAGGCATACTGAATCTCTCAGGGTACACATGCACTTCTTTCCATTGATCACACAGACATGGATCAGGAAAGGGGCTCAAACACACACCCTCCCAGATCACTTCATATAACATTCACAACTAATCCTTCCACTAGTCAATACAACTATCCCTACTATAGCAAATGCAGCGGTCATGTACACAGATGATTTCCAGGAGCTATTGCCAGCTCCAGGGAGGCAGAGATAAGGTTATGGGCACATACCTTAACTCTGCATTTCCTTGTTTTCAGAAGTTTTGAGTTTTGCTGAACTTGATGTTGTAGAAGGCACACGATACCACCAGGCACCCTTAAAGCTGCATTAATTAATTTTTACATCAATGAATTATTGAATATGTATTTAGGAACCTATCTTTAGGAACAGATTTGTAATTGGCTGATATATGTAAATGCATCTGGGCAAGTACTTCAGAGTGGGGCAAGGTTGCAGCTTTTAGTTAACCCAGGATACCTCCTGTTCTCAATTACGTTTAGGGAAGCTTCCTAGGGGCCCAGTGTATGGGAGGGCCAGTTTGTCAAGGCAAAGATTACAAAACAAAATAAAAAAGGCACAGTACCTAGCACAATGGGGACTTGCTCTACGACTGAGACGCCTAGGTGCTCTGAAGTTGAGGTGTGGTAAGCTGAAGCCCGAGGACATGGTGTCTGAGCCTCCTGCCATTGGGCCCTTCCTCTGTGTAGACGGGCTACTCTAGGGAATTTTACAAAAAAACCATTGGGGCTGAGGCTGGTTCATCTGAAAACCCCCTGGGGAGGCCAGACTGCTGTGTGTGCCGGAGTGCCAGGAAGGCGAGCGGGACCGGAGCGCTTTGAGATCTGCGGGTGGACAGCGGAGGGGCGCAGACGGGCCCCCGAGACCCTCCCTAGACCCGGGAGCGCGCGGCCTCGCGTGGGCGTGGTGCGACCCCGGCCTCGCGCTCAGGGGCGCGTGGGGGTTTCCCGCGAGCCGCCCCCGCTGACCGGTGACTCAGCGCGCCGGGGGCGGTCAGACAAGGGCCGCTCCGGGCCCGGCGCAGGCAGAGTCCGCGAGGCGCTCGGCCGGGAAGCAGACGCGGCAGTTTCGCAGGTAAGGCCGTGGCCGCGGCGCGGAGGGCGGCTGGCTCCATCCGGGGTCAGTGCGGGCTTCCGGCTGGTCCGGGCTCTCCCGGCGGTTCGCCTAGGGCCGGGCCGGGCCGGGGTGCGGCCTGGCTCCAGCCGGTGTGTTGCCTTTCAGACGCAGGGAGACGCGCCGCGCCGCGCCCGGAGCAGCCTCTCGCCTCGAGCCCATGGGACGCGGCCACTCGCCGCTCGTGACGGCGGCGCTGCTGCTGCTGCTGAGCCTGGGGCCGGCCGCCCTAACGCCCGCGCTGCCCGCGCGCTGCCCGCCCGGTGAGTGCCCTGGGGCCGGGGGGGACCGAGCGGGCCGGGGGAGGGACCGGGCGGGCGGGGCCGGGGCCGGCCCGGGCTGCAGCAGCCGGGCCCCGCTTGAACTAGCCGATCTCTCTGGCTCCTTCGCAGGCAAGTTCCTCAGCTGCGCGGACTGTGGGACGAGCCCCGAGGAGGTTTGTCTCGCCTGCCCCAGGGGCACTTTCTCCGCCACGGCCAGTGCCCAGGAGACGTGCACCAGGTGCCGCAGGTGTGAAGGTGAGTGCTGCCGGGATTACTGCCCAGACGGGGGCACACCTGGGTATGGAAACTGTATGGCGGGCCATGAAGGCTCACGACATTGGGGGGGGGGCAGAAATGAGGAGTTCGGGGTGCGGGAGGGGGCTCTGGGCTGGGGCAGGAGGGGTGGGGTGCAGTGCAGGGGGTGAAGGGTTTGGGGCATAGAAGGGTGCTTTGGGCTGGGACTGAGGGGTTCAGAGGGAGGGAGGGAGGGAGGGAGGAGGATCAGGGATGGAGCAGGGGCACGGGGAAGGTGAGGGCTCCAGGTCGGGGTGCAGGCTCTGGGGTGGGGCTGACAGGTTTTGGGTGCAGGAGGGTGCTCTGGGCTGGGACTGAGGGGTTCGGAGGGTGGGAGGGTGGTTCAGGAGGTGTAGGCTCCAGGCGGCGCTTACAGGGCGATCCGTAGCTATTATGGGGTCCTACACAGCCCCCTTCAGCACTCCCTGGCAACACAGCTGGGGCCAGGTCCCTGCACTTCCCCTGTTGGTGAGTGCAACCCTGGCCCTGCTGCAGTCTTAAGGGGCGGGGCAGGGGTGGAGCAGGGTAGGGGCTTTGGGGAAGGGGTGGACTGGGGGCTGGACTGGGGCAGAGTAGGAGTGGGAAGAGGTGGGGCAGGGGCTGGAGCAGTATGCAGCTGTGCAGGGCACCAGGAAATTTGGTGCCCTGTGCAGCTACATACTTTGCATATGGGTAAGGTCGGCCCTGGGAGCTTACCTCAAGCGGCTCCCAGAAGCAGCAGCATGTTCCCCCTCCACTTCCTACACAGAGGTGTGGCCAAGAGGCTCTGCTGCATGCTGCCCCTGCAACTCCCATTGGCCGCAGTTCCCGGCCAATGAGAGCTGCAGGGTGGTACTTGGGGCGGGGGCAGCATGTGGAGTAGAGCCCCCTGGCTGCCCCTACATGTAGGAGCCGGGGTGGGGGAAACATGTCGCTGCTTCCGGGAGTCATGTGGAGCAGCCCCTGACCCTGCTCCCCCGCTGGAGTGGGGCAAGCCCCACACCCCGTTCCCCTGCTGGCAGGCCGGATGCGACCCATAGGCCGTAGTTTGCCCATCCCTGATCTAGTAGGTGTGTTAGCATAGCAGGGTGTAGTGTACACAGACGTTGAGCTGTAAATGGAATTGTTCAGCCTTGGAAGCTAAGGTAAGCGCACTGTTGGTACATGATTTAATAATCTCTAGATCCATGGGCCTTTTAAACAGCATATCTCTGTATGCTGTGTCTTTCTCCCCTCCCCCCCCCATCCAAAGTTTCGCTTGGAAATAAAATTGTGCAAAGGTAGATATGTTAATATACCCCAACTCCTGTTTTGTGTGTGTGTCAGCAGTGCATGGCTGTATTTTTGTGACTGTATTCAGTATGTAAGCAAAAATTTGATCCCTAGCTGTCATAAGGGCTTTTGTAATAAGGCCCTCAGCTGGCCTCAGTTTGGATACCCTTGTATTACCAAAAAGGAAAAAGCAACAGAGGGTCCTGTGGCACCTTTAAGACTAACAGAAGTATTGGAGCATAAGCTTTCGTGGGTGCATGCCCACTTCATCAGATGCAAGTAAAGGGACCCTCTGTTGCTTTTTACAGATTCAGACTAACACGGCTACCCCTCTGAAACAAAAAGGAAAAAAAGTTCACTTTTTAAAAAAAATTTAATTGCCAAAGTGAAAATCTGTTTGGTGCATCCATTGCACTTTTCTGGCCTGCACTCTCAGCTTGAATCCTCTGAAGAAAATCAGGCAGGAGGTCCCTCTACTCATCACAGCCCTGTTATGATGTTTTACTAGGATGAGCTCACTTCTGTCCCGGATTCTTTGAGGAATGAGTGCCAATATGGGATATCTGTTTTTGCTCTACAGGAAAATTCAAATATAAAAGGGAGTGTTCTCCAACAATGGATGCAGAATGTGCATGTAAGGATGGGCATCGCTGTATTGGAAAAGACTGTTCTAAATGTGTAGAAAACTGTGGAGTAGGTCAGGAACCTCTTGAAGAAGGTAAGGCTGCCTTTGTCTCGTTACTCTCTGTAAAACTCTTAGGAGCCAATAACAGTAGAAAAGTCCAAGTGACTGTTTGCAGAATAGGGGCCTTATTGTAGTACTTGCTGGTTCATTAGCTCAGTAAAATTCCATTAACATAGGTAGGGCCCTACCAAATTCACAGTCCAAGTTGGTCAATTTCATGGTCATAGGATTTTAAAAATCATAAATTTCATAATTTCAGCTATTTAAATCTGAAATTTCAGGGTGTTGTAGGGGTCCTGACTGAAAATGGAGTTGTTGTGGTGGTGGGTCGCAAGATTATTGTAGGTGGGGGGTGGGGTTTACACATGTGCTGCTGCTGGAGAGCTGCGGTTGCTGGCCATGAGCTTAGCGCTGAAGGCACAGCTGCCGCCAACATCAGTGCAGAAGTAAGAATGGCATGGTATGGCATTGCCACCCTTACTTCTGCACTGCTGCTGGCAGGTGCGCTGCCTTCAGAGCTGGGCGCCAACCAACAGCTGCTGCTCTCCAGCTGCCCAGCTCTGAAGGCAGCACAGAAGTGAAGGTGGCAATACCACAACCCCCCTGCAACTCCCTTTTCGGTTAGGATCCCCAGTTTGAGAAAGGCTGGTCTCCCCTGTGAAATCTGTATAGTATAGGGTAAAAGTACACAAAAGACCAGATTTCACGGTCCATGACATATTTTTCATGGCTGTGAATTTGGTAGGGCCCTAAACATAGGCCTTGTTCCTTTGGGATACGAGTGACAAAGAAAAGATACCTGCAGAACTCTGGAATAATAAGAACAGAGACATTCTGGCCTTGGGGCACAGTTCATAGGAGGACAGTTGACTCTTCAGTATCTGGAAATACATTAACAGAATTAGTCCTGTCAGCTGAAGTTCAGGGGCCTCAAGCAACTTGTTTACAATGAAAGCCACTTATTAAAATATTCACTTAGTTAATGCAAGACCTTTACTGATCCTTGTTACAAGCCACTGATGATGAAAATTGATATATAAATGCTAAATTATTTTTGCTCAGCTGTACAGTAATGTCTCTTGCACCATTTTAAACTTCAATTTATATAAATGGTAAAACTCTTTGTATTTTTCAAAGCTTGCCAGACTTGTCCCAGTGGGACATTTAACAATCAGACCAATGGTCCCTGCAGACAATGGACAAAGTAAGTACTTTTTAAAAAAACAAGTGATATAGCTTTTTGGGTCTGGGTTTAATTCATTTTCATACATTTCTTTTTTTTTTTTTTTTTTTTTTAACATATTTAAGATGCCTTCCAGATAAGGTCCTGGTGAATGGGACTAATAGGAGTGATGTGGTTTGTGGACAAGCTTCAGAAACTATGACTCCATCCACCATTTCCATCATAGTCTCTACCCATGTACAAGGTGAGTTATTGCCTAATAATTCCTCGCTAGAGTGAAATAGTTACAGCTTGCCTTGCAATTAAATAAACTAAGGCTCTCGTGCTTATAACTGAACTTAAGGGTCCTTTTATTTGTCTCCAGTCTCACAGATTGGTGCAGCAGCAGCAACTCTGAGCAGTAAAAGCAAAAAGAAAAGTAGCTTTTGTTGTTTAGGGACAAATAATCCAGCTGCTTCCATTGCAGGGGAGCTTTGCTCTACAATCATTTTTAAGGAATGTTTTTGCTTCTTAGGGAAGGATCTTCAGGTGGTCACCGTCGGGATCGCTGTTACTGTGGCCGTGGTGGTATGCATAATGTTTCTGCTGCCTTTGTATGTGTGCTTCAGCATCTGCGACAAAAAGAAACTACCTGCTATGTTCAAGAAAAGTAAGACATGCAACCTACAAACTTCCTTTTCCTAGTGGTGGGCAAGCAGGCAAGAATCCAGGTTTCAGAGTTTCCTTGAAAGCTAGCAGCATAGTTGAACTTAAAAATGTGTTCTTTGAAAGTCCGTCACTATACTATGAAAAGAAAATCAGGTTTTAGATTTTTATTATTTAAAAAAAAAATCGGGCTATTGGGAGGAAATTGGCTTTAGAAATGTTACAAAGGAGGTCTCCCGTGGCCCTTTGGAATTTGGTAGTGACTGAAGCTGAGAGAGTAATTTATTTTTTGGGAGTCAGCCAGCAAATTAAAAATCAGAAAAAAAAATTGATTCCGTTCAGAAAATGTTCAGACTTTGTATGAAAATTGGAAGAGTCAATTTTGGATCATCTGTTTCATTTCAGTCATAAAAAGTGTGTGTGTCCATCCATGTCTGTCCCCTTTTAACCTTTATCCCAGTGATTTAGTGCACTTGCCTGGGATGGAGGAGAACCACATTTGAATCCAAACTGTGGAGCAGGGACTCAGACTCACATCTCCTCCCTCCCAAATGAGCATCTGAAGCCCCAGGCTATAGGCTATTCTGTGTGGGTTGCTCTCAATCTCTCCTGTTGAAGTTGTTCCATTTCCGTATTAACTACTTAAATATTAATTGGGCCAAAGAGAGTGCAAATGACTTCATAGCCTGGTGATTAAGGCACTCACTTGGGAGGTAGGCTATGAAAACTTGAATCTTCCCTCCGCATGATTCAAAGTGGTCTGTCAAGTGCCCTAACCACTGGGCAAAAGATTAGGAGGACGACATACAGAGACACATGGGTTTCTGAAGCTGGCGCTGAAAAAGTTTTTCCCAGCCACAACTAATTGGGTCAAATTCGTGAATAGTTGCAGGTTCATCGAAACAGCACTTTTTTGGCCAACTATTTGGCCAAAAAATGTGACCCAGCTCTAGAAGTGACACAATTTTGTAAAGATACAATATTTGACAGGTTCCTACCTTTCTAAGACCGACAACAAATGAAACCTCAGGAAGCTCCCAGGAAATTACACTCTTAGGTGTACCGATGGGACATCACCTGCACAATGGTAGAGAAACCTCCTATCTTCCTCAGTATCTCTGCTTCTGTATGGGGAAGGAAATGTTCACTTAGACAGGCATGAGCTAAGAACACAGTATGTTACATTCCACTTCAATCTGGGTTTTTAACTCCCAACAGAATGCCAGTCACAACATGTTAAGACTACTGCCTCCATGGGTTTAATTAGTATCTCATGGTTCTATGTATTTATGCACCTTGGAGATATTCTGGAGTGTGTCTTGGCTAATCTTTTAATGTGTCTCTCAAGTGACATGAAAGGAAGAAAAGGGAAGGAAACCCATCCTTTTCTCCACACCCTTTCCTGTGGAGCTTCCTGCAGCTGGAACTCCCTCCTTAACTTGGTCTGGCAAGCTTCAGTCCTCCCCTTCATGTCCTTCCTGAAAATGGATTTCCTCCAAAAAGCCTATAAACCCTACCTGCAGAGAGAGGCGTTAACATTTTAGCTGAAAACCCAAAACATTAAATTTAAACAAATTGAAGGGTCACACTCTCCTGCCTCCTCTTGATTCCACAATCTCCCTGTTTTCTGCTCCCTATTCCTTTGTTTATATTTTTTGTCCATTCAAATTGTAAGGTCTTTGGAGTGCAGAACCTGTGTACACTATGTTGGCACTAAACTATGTGTGTGTTTACACACACACACACACACACACACACACACACACACACACACACACACACACACACACACACACAC